GAAGAACATGCGTATATAATTAGATGGGGGAGAGGTGGGCTGGACAACCAATACCGATGTAGCTATCTGCTCTGGACTTCTCCCTTGTTCCTTCTGGAGCTCTGGTCTTGTGGTAAACATACTCCACTTTGTCACACTCTGGATGGTCTCTTCTCCTTCTAACCTTTCCTGAAATCCCCTCAGCCCTGAGGAAAATACTTCCCCTACACCCGTCTTTTCTTCCACATCTCATTGCACAAAGTAAGGAGGAAAATCCACATCTTTTGTCCCCCAGATCCTACCTTGCCCCCAGTTACTCTCCCAAGCCAACACTTCTTCACCTTGTATAAAACCACTGTCGAGGCTCGCAGTCTGGTTTTACCATTCTATACCCTGCCCACAATGTCTTCTCCCAACCACCTGGTCAGTCCTTTCTATTCTTGGAAGACTTCTGTCCCTGGTTCACTCTTCCTTTCTACTCCCAGGCCCAGCTGTCAAGCTGTGGACTCCAGTGTTCATCGTAGACAATTTATCCAATACTAGGATGTCGGCTCTTTGCATTCTTCAACTTGTTTATCTCAACCATCCACTTCCAAGAAAATATGCTGGATTTTGTCGGTCTGTTTAGCTTTTCAATTCCTAAACCCAGACATCTCACATTTTTATTACAATCTAACTACTCCCGTTTTATCCATTTTATTGACCTTACTGAGATTGTAGTCTTTTAAAACAAATTGCTGTCCATGCTTTATATGCCATTTGTTCCTATCTCCTTTGACCTTTCTCTAAATGTCATTTAAGAATAAATTTAAAAAATTAGTTTCAAGTGGAGTCATGAAAAATGATAAATTGCTTAAAATATATATTCAAACAAAACAGAAATGTATATTTCTAAATATTTTGATGTAAGATGAAGGCCTTTTTAGCAACTATGAATCACTTGATTGGAATTCCTCACTGTCCTTGCTTAACTACATCTAAAATGTACTATTTTTAAATTTCCAATTTTTTTTTAAGTGGAACAAGAACACACCTAAAGACACACATAATTAATCTGAATCAGAAGTCTTCTGAATCATCACAATTTTTTACTTAAACTTCTATTACAGCCGGCTTTTGTTTTTGTTTTTTTGGTTGGCTTTTTAGTCACTATCTATTAAAAAGTATTTCCAAAACAGTTTAGCTAAACAACAAATCATTCTGTTTACATACATTTAACCGGTTAAATATTTAAATTGCATAAAAACAAATAGTCATAAACAGGTTTTGGAATTTGACCTTTGGTGAATATATAACTCAACTGGTTAAAGGAGAAATGTGAAAATATATTAGAAAGTAGTCTGCCAGCCTTGGGTCCATCAGCCAGTGTTTCACATCAGAGACTTCAGTGCATGTGGACAGACAGCATTTAGATCTCCCCAATCTTCCATTGCCTCGGCCCCTTCCAGCTACGCAGGCCCCTTCCAGCTGCGCACCAAGTTAGCTACCTTTGTTTTCATGCCAGAGAATTGCTTCGGTGTACTCTCCAGTTTTCACCTTCTTCACACCTCTTAACAGTAATCTGACTTCCACCCCTATCACCCCACTGACACTGCTCTTGCCAGAGTAATCAATGGCATTCCTGTTGCTAAGTTCAACAGACTCTTCTGTCTTTCTTTATACTGTTATTCATCCCTCCCTTTTATATATATATATATGTGTGTGTATATATATATGTGTGTGTGTGTGTGTATATATATATATACATATATATATATATATATTTCTTTATTGATTTCAGAGAAGGAGAGAGATAGAAACATCAATGATAAGAGAGAATCATTGATCAGCTGCCTCTTGCACACCCCCTACCAGGGATCGCACCAGCAACCCAGGCATGTGCCCTTGGCCAGAATCGAACCTGGGACCCTTCAGTCCGCAGGCTGACGCTCTATCCACTGAGCCAGGCCGGCTAGGGCTCCCTCCCTTTTTTAATGCTTACTTTTCACAACTTCCTAGACCCAGCCTGGCTTGGCTTTCCTTCTACCTCAGTGATTAAACCAGAGCTAGAACTCAGTTCTTCTGTTTTCACTCTGCAAATTCCCCTGGGCCAGTCCAACCACCCCTCTAATTACCATTTAATATTAATGTATTCCACTTACATGTGCCACAGCCACTTGGCATGTCCAAAGTTGAATTTCTCACCCCCACCCCAAAGAGCCACCTCCTCCCCTTTCTCAGTTCCCTATTTTAGTGATGGCACCACCATCCATTCCAACACAGAAACCTGGACATCCTCCTTGACTCTCTCACCTCCCCACACATCCATTCAGTACCATCTCATATTGATTTTTTTTAAATCACTCCAATTCCCTTTATTTTCTAGTTCAGCATGCCAAAATTTTATGCCCCAAATACAGTAATAGCTTTCCTCTAGAATGATTTCTCTTTTTCAAACTTTTCCACTCACTATAATTTGAGTGATTTCTCTAAATTGCATATTTTATTTCATCTCTCACCTGAATAAAAGACTTCAATGGCTCTCATTGCCTTCAAAATAAGATTGAACTTTTTTTTTTTTTTAATTTCAGAGAGGGGAATGGAGAGGGAGAGAGGGACAGAAACATCAATGATGAGAAAGAATCATTGATCAGCTGCCTCCTGCATGCCCCATACTGGGGTTTAATCCTGCAACCCATGCATGTGCTCTGACCAGGAATCGAACCGTGACCCCCTGGTTCATGGGTAGATGTTCAACCACTGAGCCACACTGGCCTGGCAAGGTTGAACTTTTTAATGATTTACAAGGCTTTGCATTCAGTACTTCCTACTTACCTTTTCAGACTTCTCTCTCCTTAAGCCTTTGGCCTTTGGATAGCACATTGTCTAGATCTTGGCTTGCGCATTTCTCCTTCTAGACAATATTCCTAGAAAAGTTCCTTTTGTGGCCTTTCAGAGTTCCCTCTGCTGACCCTATCATAGCCCTCATCTCAATATAGTATAATTGCCTATCGATCCATTTGTCTTCTCCACTGTATTGTAATAGCATGGTCCCAGTCAGTTCGCCTTTTTGTTCTCGGCACCTATCACAGTGACCAGACACAGTACACGCTCCTAAATATTTGTGAGTTTGTGAGTGAATGGCCTTAAGCAAGTCACTTAGCTTCGCTGAGCCTCAATTGCATCATATATTAAAAGGGAATAATGTCTGACCTACATTATAAGGTTGTTTTAGGGTGTTGTAAAATAATAGGAATGAAGTTTAACGTAGCAGTTAAGAGTGTGGGATCTGGATCTATACTACCTGCTTTTTTCTTTTTTTAAAATTTATTGCTGTGACATTGGTCAACATGAACATACTAGTAGAGGTTTCAAGTGTAGGTTTCTGTTACAAGATACTATCTGGCTTTTAATCCTAGCTCCCACCATAGTGACCTTGAGCAAGTTACTTAACTGTGTTTTAGTTTCCTCTTTGGCAATACAAGAATGACCATAGTATCTGCCTCGTGGGGTTTTTGTGAGAACTGAGTTAATATGTGAAAAGCACTTAGTACAGTGCCTAAACACAATAAATGTTAGCTATTAATTATAGCATTTTTATTTATAAGCTCTAAAATTACCTATACACACAAACACATGCATCTGTAGATAGATGCACCCATGGCACCAATTATTAATTTGAGTATTTAGGGCAGGGGTGGGCAAACTTTGACTCGAGGGCTACAATGGGTTCTTAAACTGGACCGGAGGGCCGGAACAAAAGCATGGATGGAGTGTTTGTGTGAACTAATATAAATTCAAAGTAAACATCATTACATAAAAGAGTATGGTCTTTTTTTTCAATAGTTTTATTCATTTCAAACGGGCCCGGATCCGGCCCGCGGGCCGTAGTTTGCCCACGACTGATTTAGGGGGTTGGAGGACTATTATCCTTAATTTTTTTATCCTTAATAATTATCCTTAATTCTTTCTTTTAGAATAATGTCATAGCTATACCAGAGTTTATTTTCCAAGTTTTAAATTCAAATTCCTATTCTTGATATTTTGGTAAAAAAATTTTTTAACTGGTGTTCAACCTAAATTTGAATGCTGAATCCCAAACATTTTTGAGACTGCATAAGTAGTAGGTGGCCATTGCACAGGAAAAACATTTAAATAATAAAAATTACTGGTTTAATTTATAAAGTACAATTATTATGTTTTTGACATGTAACTTTATTTTTCTATGATTAATTACACAAACAATTTAATGTTTGGAAAATACAAATTTAATTAAATCTGTAACTATTCAAGAAAAAAATATAAGCATTGAAGGGTTTTTTCTATATACTTACTTTTTATTGAATTTGTGAATGTTACAGAGCTCTTGCACTGCCAAAGCATGCCTGAGAATTCAGAGAAAGAAGTGGCACAATGGACAGCCTATTCACCATCATACAGTATATTAAAACTTGATTCATGTGCATTTTGATAATTTCCCAATTTTTAAAAAGCTCTAATAAGAGTTGATGTTAAATCCCCTTTATATGTATAGTACAGTGTGCCATTAAATAAGTTCCACATATCCATATCAGTTTATTCCTCAATAACATAACCTTCAACATTTTGCGGGGGAGTGGGGGGGAGGGATGCATATTTTTCAGAGAAAACATGTGGCTCAAGGTCCAAGAGATTTAAGAGTTTTGGTTCCCAAATGAAGTCTTCAGTTTAACCAGGAACCCAACCTCTCCTTGGCTTGCTCAGCAACTCACCCAAACACATCAGAAGACAGGCATCCTGCCTGCCACCTGGAATAACACCGGCATTATTGCCCAGAAAGAGTGGGCGGGTCCTGTCAGGAGATCCCATAAGCCCCCAGGAGTCCGAGTCCTGCACTGACACTTTCACAGGAGCATTGTGCATATGTGTTCAGCGGAAAGAAATTGCTCAATTTTAATAAAAAGTTCTCTTTTATTTAAATTTAATTAGATAATACCCACTTGTCTATTGACTTTAGATCGACAGAAATGCCTAATTTTTATTCTCTTTCTGATTCTCTTTAGAATTGGTGGTTGCAGGACTTTCTTCAGAATGACTCTGGGGCGAGAAGTGATGTCTCCTCTTCAGGCGTTGTCTGCCAGCACTGCGGCTGGCAGGAATGTCTTAAGATGGGATCTTTCACCAGAACAAATTAAAACAAGGACCGAGGAGCTCATTGTGCAGACCAAACAGGTGTATGATGCTATTGGAATGCTTGACCTTGAGGCAGTAACGTATGAGAACTGCTTGCAGGCACTGGCGGATGTAGAGGTGAAGTACATAGGTGAGTAGGATGCAAAAGCACATCAATATTTCATTTTGTGGGCATCATAAACCATTGTACGTGTTCTGTCTTAGCAATCCGTTTTCCAATTTCACAAGATATTGATTTTTACATAATGATTAATTAATTGCTTGGAATTAAGTTACCTCAGATTAAAATTTTTTAATTATGTTAGCAAAGGTGCTATAAAATGTACACTCATTACAGCTGCTTTTTGGAGAGCATTGACAGTATCTATGAAAACTTTTAAGAAGTTCAAACCCTGGCTTAGTAATTCCACATCTATGTATTTAACTAAGGAAATAATCAGATACAGGAAAAAATCATCTATAAATTTATGTATAGGTAGTTACTCTCATAAGCAAAAGCTTGGAACAACACCTAAGTGTCAACTAATAGAATGACTAAATAAATTGTGATACATTCACCCTAACACTGTGAAGCCATTAAAATCATGTATAACCCTGGCTGGTGCGTGTCAGTTGGTTGAGCATCGTCCTTTGCACAGAAAGGTCACTAGTTTGATGCCTAGTCAGGGCACATACCCAGGTTGCAGGTTCCATCCCCGGTCAGGGTACATACAGGAAGCAACCAGTCGATGTTCCTCCCCCTCTTTTTCTCTCTCTCTAAAAGTCAATAAAAATATTTTTTAACATAATAACAAAATAATGTTTAGACGCAGTATTTAATGACCTAGAGAAAAGGACAAAGAAGGAAAGCCAAAAGAAAATTTCAATAACAAATTTTAAAATAATGGTTAGTATCTTAGATGGTGGGCTGACAGTTGACTTTTTTACTTTTCTCTTTATGCTTTTCTCTATTTTCCATTTTCCCTACACTTAAAATACATTATTTTTATTATATGAGTATAAGATTCTCTGAGTTATAAGAAATGAAGATTCACAGGAGTTACCTCTACGGGTTGGATATATTTGGTAGGATAATTATGACTAAGCAACCCTTGGCTGTGTATCCACACTTCATAAGAGCATGGATAACGTAAACATTAATATGTCTTTTGGAATTTGGAAGGTTGTCCAGAACCCTCCACAGCCCTAGTGCCCTGGTCATCGCTCTACCCTCCCCAACCCCTCAACACCAAGAGCCTCTTACTCTCTCCCACCACAATGGGGACTTGGCTATTCTCCCTGACCTCTGCTCTTCTGTTTCAGTTTCTGCCTCAACTACCAACTGCATCACTCTAATCAGTGGCCACAACCTCTTGCTACAAGTCCTGAGTTTAAACTCTGAATAAAAAGGATCTGATTGGTCTCGTTAGTCCAAGTCAAAAGGGAAGGGGTTGGCCCCCATTCGGCAGAGCTTTCCCAGTAGGCAATTTCATATGCATCTCCCACCCTATATATGGTTTGTCCCAGGTTCAGATACGAACTTCTTTATTCACTTATGGCCAAGTTGGTGTGCCAGCCTGGTAACTTACGTATACACTTAACAAATATAAACATCAGTGGGAGGAAAAACAAAAACAAAAAACTTATTTATTATATTTTTTCCCAATAATGCATCTTCTAAATATACTTTTAGGTTTGTGATGTATGTTCTTACTCTCTTATAACTTTTTCTTGGTGGATTAATCATCCAAAGAATAGCCTTTTAAAGACTAACTTTCTCTTATCTGTGTGTTCTCATTGTTCATTCTACCTCCAGCAAGAGCTGTTAAAATCCTTCCCATTTAGTGTCAGTTACTAGACATCAGTATTGTTTATAGTTTGGCAGCTAGAGTATAAGTCTGGTTTCAGGTCTTTGTGGGCAAAGTTAGGAAGGAAATGGTTTGCAGTATTATTATTTAAGAATATGTTTCCAACTTTAGGTTCCTATATTTTATGATGCTCATTTGAGTTCTTGAGCAATTTTGCCCTTCTTAATAATATTTTTGAGCTTATTTTAAAAGTAAACAGAAATGATAACTATTAGTTAATTATATCACTTAAATACTATAGGTATTAAAATTTAAATCTGTTTTATTCTTTATTTAAGAGACATAAAATTATAGACTAAGTCAAATCCTTAAAAATAATTATCTAATTTGATTTTTTAAAACACATTATTAATGTATTCAGATATTTGTGACAATTTTTTATGCCTTTATTTGGAGGAACAGTGTTTTAAGAGGACTAATAAGAGTGAGGTGGCTTCTTTAATTGTACAGTTTCTTGGTATATAAAAGAGAGCTCTACTGTTTACCATATATCACAGGTGTAAACTTTGCCTATTTACAATACCTTTAAAGTACCATATATAAAATAAAAATGTATTCATTGTCATAGTATAACCACAACCATCACTATAAACCATACTCATTGTTTCTATAGTATGGATTATTTCATTGACATTAGATTTTTGCCCAATTAAAGCCACACACAAAAAATATGTGAAAAACCCAGAACCAACTTTAATATGTAAAAGTTAGAATGGGCTACATTAGCACCATCATTTAACAGGAATAACCCCAATATTCAGCTCTTTGCTGGATGTGTCTACTGAGTTTCCCAGGAATCCTCTGAAATTGTATGGAACTCATTGTTTGTATGAATGTTTGCATTGGGGAGGAGGGGTATGTAATTTTGATTAAATTATTTAAGAAATCTGTATGCAGGTTAATAATTTCTATTCTAGCCCGGCTGGTGTGGCCCAGTGGTTGAGCAGCAACATATGAACCAGGAGGTCACAGTTCTATTCCCAGTCAGGGCACATGCCCAGGTTGCGGGCTCAATCCCCAATAGGGGGCACGCAGGAGGCATTGATGTTTCTATCTCTCTCTCCCTCTCCCTTCCTCTCTGGAATCAATAAAAATATATGTTTTATAAAGAAAAAAAAAGAACTTCTAAATTAAAGCCACCCCACTAACTTGGTGTGCTTGTGTTTTAAACATCCTCTGCCTCTGCCTCTGCCTCTGCCTCTGCCTCTGCCTCTGCCCCTACCCCTGCCCCTGCCCCTGCCCAGGCTTGCACTCCCTGCTTCTCCAGCCTCTCCTTTTGCCCACCATCCCACCATCCTCTAAGGCCCTGCCTTCTCCGCTGGGCACTGCACAGTGGCCAGCCCTCTGCATTGCTGTCTTTCAGTTACTATCCCACTCATTTAGCAACTAACCTGCTCTGTCCTGCATTGTTCTTTGTCTTTTTATGTGCTGTTCCCCACCACCGCTCCCCAGATTATAAAATGCCTTAGTATAAGAACTATGTCTTTATTTTTCTATATTGCCAGTTAGTAAATTACACCCAAAGAATACTTTAATAAGTGCCCAGTGCACACCCTATTGTTCCTTATAATGCCACTGGGACAGCCAGGCTCTGTATTAAATGCTGTGTTTTTTTATAGCCTTAGGAACTTTTACAGAAAGTGTAAAATGAAAACTTTTGTCAGGATAATCATTCATCTAGACAGGAGGTATTTTTCTTAATCCTGACTTGAGGAGCCCTTACAGTTTTCCCCTCTATTAACAGTGGAACGAACCATGCTAGACTTTCCCCAGCACGTCTCCTCTGACAAAGAAGTGCGAGCAGCAAGCACAGAAGCGGACAAAAGACTTTCTCGCTTTGATATCGAGATGAGCATGAGAGAAGATATATTTCGGAGAATTGTTCATTTACAGGTAAATGATGTTATGAATCCCTTTAAAAGAAAAAAAATCTACAGTAAAAAAGTAAAAACCTTTGATCAGCAATAAAAAGTACTTGAATGCTTCTAGATTTTGTTTCTAATTGTTATAATAATGGGCATAGCACAGTGTTATATAATGTTATATTACACCACTTAGGTTTATGTTTAGTTGCTGATTATATTCACCTAAGATTAGAGACCAAATATAAAAGAGTATACATCTAGCCCTAGCCAGTTTGGCTCAGTGTATAGAGTCTGCTGACTGAAGGGTCGCAGGTTCAATTCCGGTTAAGGGCACATGCCTGGATTTCGGGCTTGATCCCCAGTAGGGGACGTGCAGGAGGCAGGTAATCAATGATTCTCTCTCATCATTGATGTTTCTGTCTCCCTCTCCCTTCCTCTGAAATCAATAAAAATATATTTTTTTAAAAGTATGACACATTACTAACACCATTTCCCCTAAGAACAGGAACAAGACAGGGATGCCCCCTCTCACCACTCCTGTTCAACATAGTACTGGAAGTGTTAGCCATTGCAATTCGGCAAGAAGAAGAAATAAAAGGCATCCAAATTGGAAAAGAGGAAGTAAAACTGTCCTTATTTGCAGACGACATGATATTATACATACAAAACCCTAGAGACTCCATCAAAAAGCTACTAGACTTAATACATGAATTTGGCAATGTAGCAGGATACAAAATTAACCCCAAGAAATCTGAGGCATTTCTGTACACCAATGGTGAACTTTCAGAAAGAGAGATTATAAAAACAATCCCGTTTACCATCGCACCAAAAAAATTAAGCTACCTAGGAATAAACTTATCTAAAGAGGTAAAAGATCTCTACTCAGAAAACTACAGTACGTTGAAAAAAGATATAGAGGAAGACATAAACAGATGGAAGAACATACCGTGTTCATGGATTGGTAGAATCAACATCATTAAAATGTCCATACTACCCAAAGCAATCTATAAATTCAACGCACTTCCTATTAAAATACCAACGGCATACTTCAGAGATCTAGAACGAACTCTCCAAAAATTCATCTGGAATAAAAAAAGACCCCGAATAGCTGCAGCAATCCTGAAAAAGAACAAAGTAGGTGGGATCTCAATACCAGATATCAAGTTGTATTACAAAGCCACTGTTCTCAAAACTGCCTGGTACTGGCACAAGAATAGGCATATAGATCAATGGAATAGAATAGAGAGCCCAGAAATCGGCCCGAACCAATATGCTCAATTAATATTTGACAAAGGAGGCAAGAACATACAATGGAGCCAAGATAGTCTCTTCAATAAATGGTGTTGGGAAAATTGGACAGATATATGCAAGAAAATGAAACTAGACCACCAACTTACACCATACACAAAAATAAACTCAAAATGGATAACGGACTTAAATGTACGACAGGAAACCATAAAAATTCTAGAAGAATCCAAAGGCAACAAAATCTCAGACATATGCCGAAGCAATTTCTTCACTGATACAGCTCCTAGGGCACTTGAAACTAAAGAGAAAATGAACAAATGGGACTACATCAAAATAAAAAGCTTCTGCACAGCAAAAGAAACCATCAACAAAACAACGAGAAAACCCACTGTGTGGGAAAACATATTTGCCAATGTCATATCTGATAAGGGCCTAATCTCCAAAATTTATAGGGAACTCATACAACTTAACAAAAGGAAGATAAACAATCCAATCAAAAAATGGGCAAAGGACCTAAATAGACACCTTTCAAAAGAGGACATTCAGAAAGCAAAGAGACATATGAAAACATGCTCAAAGTCACTAATCATCCGAGAGATGCAAATCAAAACAACAATGAGGTACCATCTCACACCTGTCAGACTGGCTATCATCAACAAATCAACAAAGGACAAGTGCTGGAGAGGATGTGGAGAAAAAGGAACACGGACATATGTTGTAATACTTTAAGCAATAAAAAAAAAAAAAAGTGTGACACATTAAAAGAGTGTACATCTACAAATCTAAGGCTTCTTAGCCATCATGAACTTGATGGTTCAATGTAAATACCTCTTTAAATTTTCAAAATATTACAAGATATTTATTAGATCAACTAGAAGCAAATGGGTTTGAGTTGTTTATCTGTAAATATCATGTGCTTTTGGCCATCATACCGACAAATGTTGATGCTGCATGCCATAGTCATTCCTGTCTGTCATCCTCACATTTTCCAGGACTCAGGGAAATTATGTATAATAAATGTTGGAGGTGCGTCTGCCATGAGTGTTTTGGTCTTTTCATAACCAGTGTTGATTTGCTTTCTAGTATTTTTATCCTCTCTTTGCTTTGAATTTTTATTTTCATGACACCTCAGCAATTTGGAAAATACCCAAAGTTTTATATAATTTTAGGCATTTTTGTTTAATTTTACATGTTTCTTTATGCAAAAATCTCAAAAATTTTGTTCATTTTAGCAAGTTGAGAGTGTTGAAATAAAACAGCAGTGTTATTCAAATAGTTTATTTGTAACTCACTACAGAATATGTAGTCATGACTTATTTAGACATATAAGAGTATATGCTGTCTATTCCCTCATATCAGATGAGCATTTTTCAGCCTGTTATCTGTAATCTCTGTGATTCAGAATTGTTCATATTTGGCACTATAAAAATAACATTGATTAAAAGAACTTTATGATTCTTTATTAGTTGTTCCCTTTTTTCTTTTTGACCTTAGTTATTATTCTGTATGATTCAAATCATGACCTTTATAAACTTTTTATTTCATTCCCAATAATCGAATTTCCATTCTACCTATGTATTATATATGTATTTTTAAACTTTCCTCAGAATTTCTAATTTTCCTTAACTCTGTTTTCATCCTGACTTCTAAATTCTCATTAGGGATTTTCAAAATCACATTTCCCAGTCCTGACAAAGGTTTCCCACTTCTTGGCTAAAAACCATCAAAGATGAAAAAAGATTTTACAGACACTTTTCTAGCCATAGTGATAAGAAAAATGTACAGTGTCTTCATGTCAAAATAATCCAGACATGCAGTTTTTTATTCCAGTGGTCTGCTACGTAATAACTACAGAAGAGGGATTCTTTAGTGAAAATAGTCTGAATTATGCAAGCTAAATTGGGAAATACAGTTATCTGATGTAATATTTATATTTTTTTAGATCTGTGGGCTTTGGTCTTGCCAATTCATCTCAGCCAATTAGTGATTTAAGCAGAAGACTTTTGACATAACGGTGTAAATGAATAGATCATGTGATTAAGTATTATGATGTACTCTAACAGTCATGGAGACCTATTGCCAAAATAAAATACAAGATCCCAGAACCCAAAGGTGCCTTAAAACTTGTACCTTTGTTAAGCTCTTAAAAGCCTAGGGGTCCCATAGAAAGCATCAACTACCTTGCCTTAGTTTCTTCATTAGGCAGGCACCCCTCTTTTGTGCTCCCTAAGTACTTACCTCTCTTTTCATTGACTACATGATAGACATATTTGCTGGTGTATCCTTTTTTTCTTCATACGACTTAAAGAACCTCAAGGATATTCATCTTTGTTTGCCTGGTGCCTGGTGTGAATAGGAGCTCAGTGAATGCATGTTGAATGGATCTGAACTGGCCCCAGTTAAAATGTGGCTCCGTGCAGTGTGGTTCCCCACTCCCAGGGCCCTCATTCTGCCTGTGGCCCGCACAAAAGCAGTGAATCTGGTGATGGCATGTTGAGTTATCACTCAGCAAACAGACATTTTGGCACTTCTATCCTAACTGTAAGCAGTTGCCTAAGAATGTTCTCTTCTCAATAACAGGATAGGAACCTAACAGTGTACTGATTGGAAAAGAAAAAGAAAAAAAAAAAAAAGGAGACCTGAAAAATTGCAAATACCAGTATTACACATGTAATTAAGTCATACCTCTATGTAAGCTTTTGCAATAAGATATATGTTATCATACTCTGTTGTCTTATATTGTCTTATATTTCTTAGCATACCTGAAGTTTATGAATCAGTTTCTCTAAATGATACTCAGTGAATATACTAGCTTAATTCTCAGAGCTCTTTTAACAGTGTTGTAATTTCTACTTTGTATACACACTGAAATAATTTTTCATTTACATATTTTAGAAACTGGAAATGTGAAGGTCTTGTGAAGAAAAGGACAAAAAGTCATGGGACAGAAAGCAGGGAGGATTTGGGGGAAATTAAGAAAATTTTTCACTTTTTTATTATGAAATTCTAAAGAATTATGAATTAAGGATGTTAATGTGGTTCTATGGCATACTGGGCAAAGTACTCAACTAAGAATTTGAAGGAGTTATTTCTACCCCCATTTTTACCACTAAATAGCTGTGTGATCATAGGAAACTCATTTACCTTCAGTCTGCCAAATGAGTATACAAGATACAAACGTACATGTAAGAGTGTGTGTGCGCGCGCTCGAGTTCACACTTACACAAAAGCCCTTTGCCACAGGAGGAAGTTGGGGCGGGAACTAAATCTTGTCACCACAGAGATTTAAAAAGAACTCTGCTGTCATATAAATTGGAAAATTACTTCAGAGAACTTCAGCCCCCCACCCACCCTGCTCCTAAAGAAGAGAAACTTCACGCTGAAATGCCTGAGACCTGGTTCCAATCCAAGGGGATTAAGTTCTGGTTCGGGAAGGAAGGTGCAGCTGCAGCAGAGCAGCCTGGAAGTGCTGAGTCCCTCCTAGGAAGGCCTTGGGCGGTAATTCCAACCTTGCCTGGCGAGTGTAAGGGAGAATATTATGATCCGCTCTGGGACAGGAATGTGCGTTAGAAGCACATTTTAGAAGTGCCTTACTCTTACCAGAGACCTCCAGAGATTCCCCAGGACCTCAGCGTCTGACTGGCAAAGGGCATCTGGTTACAATTGAGGCCGATTTTTGTTGTGTCATTTTTGTGGCTAGTCACATATTTCGGTAATGGTCATATTTTAATTAGACCTACTTCAGGGCTGGTTTTTCTCAGAATATCCTTCCACCTGTTTATATATACTTGTATTACCTATTTGGAGAGTAAGTAGTCTTACCTAATGTAGAGCATGAAATTGGAGTTGACTATGCTGACTATACTCCCAGGCTTTCTGAAGTAATAGCCCAGCTATGGCAAATCCTACTGAAATAATTTCTCATTGGCATATATGAAGAAAAGGACAAAAGGTCATGGGACGGAAGGCGGGGAGGATTTGGGGGAAATTCAGAAAATGTTTCACTTTTTTATTATGAAATTCTAAAGAATTTAGAATAAATTAAGAATGGTAATGTCTGAGAGCCATTCTGAGTGTAGAATAATTCTGTTTACACCAGCCGGTGAGACTGAGATGAGCCTCTGTCCTGACCTCGGGACTGAATGTACCCAGTGAACCCTGGGAACCAAGTATCCACACTGCTGTCCAGCTCTGGGCTGGCTTCTGTCTTGACTCACTGCCCTGCTGGGAAGGCTCCCTGCCCTGCTGGGAAGGCTCTCTGCTCTGGATCTCCACCTGCTCACTTGGGTCCTTCAACTTACCCAGCTCTCACCAGGCCCTTATCAATAGGGATTTTTTCCCTCTCCCCCGACTACACATAGCTACAGCCTATGTTCTCCCCAACCTTTCGACATCCACCACTGTACCGTCTAGAGACTCCTGTTGCCATGCCTCACACCTCAGGACAGACTTCCTGGCGCTGTCAAGCCAGCCTCTATCAACTCAGGTGAATCATCACATCCGCATGAACACTGCGATTTGAGCCACTAGCCATCCCCAAGGGAACCAGCCCACAGCGCAGTTATCTCCCTGGCCATTCTGGGTGTCTTCCCATTGCAGACACCTGCTGCTGAGATCCCAGTGTGTGCCAGTACCAGCTAGAGAGGGTTCCAACTCCGGTCATGCCTGCATGCTCAAAAATGCTCTAAGGACATAAAGGAGGTTATTATGGAAAAATGAGTAATTGTTCTCTGCCTCCACTGAGGATTAAGTCAGAGGAAACTGAGTAATGTATGCACAACAGGTGCTTTACTACTGTGACATAATATTTTTTATCGGGAGGCCAGGTGAGATACAGATTGTTTTATTAAGTAGCACCCTCAGAGTACAACTCTACTTACCTGCGACAACAAAATGTAAAAAAATTACAGAATTATTGCAGCAAAAGCCTTGCGCCAACAATATAAAACGCAGGCGCTAAAGCAGTGATGGCGAACCTTTTGAGCTCGGCGTGTCAGCATTTTGAAAAACCCTAACTTAACTCTGCTGCCGTGTCACATATAGAAATGTTTTGATATTTGCAACCATAGTAAAACAAAGACTTATATTTTTGATATTTATTTTATATATTTAAATGCCATTTAACAAAGAAAAATCAACCAAAAAAATGAGTTCGCATGTCACCTCTGACACGCGTGTCATAGGTTCGCCGTCACTGCTCTAAAGCGAAGATCTAATTGGGCCTTTCTAAGATCTAATTAGTTGGGTAAATACAAAACTCCGGGATGGACAGTCCAGGTCTTCCCTGGAGAGAGAGTGCAACCAATGGCAGGGTCCTAATGCTGAGCGGTCTCTAAGGCTCTAGAGGCAAAGGCCCTCATTGCCTCTCAACCAAACAATCTGCTACTCCCCTGTCTGGAGTCCGTTTCCTCCGAGGGACCACACACTGGCCAGCCTTCCAGATGTGCCCTGTATATTTTGCCACCTGTTTGGAGTAAATACCTTGCTATGGCTCATCCTCCAGGGCCCTTCGTTCCTTTGAGCGAGTGCCGTTCGTGTTGCTGCTGGCAGGTTGAAATGCACTGTCCAGTGTTCCTCCTGTGTGCTGTGCGGACTCCTTTCCCCCACATATTTGTTCCTGCGCAGCTTGCTGCAGCCCCCTGATCTCTCTTGCTAAATGACAGTGAGGCATTTTTAAAGTGCTAGAAGCCTTTATCCAGCTGTACTTTTTTGGTATGTTGGCCAAAGAGTCCCACTCTCCACTCTGTATTATTTGCCCTTTATATTTATGCCTGCCTCTCAAGTGGAACCAGGTTAGCAAATGATAGAAAGTTAAATCCAGATGATTTGTGATAAGGAATGTGTTTTGTGAGAAAGACCACTGGGTCATAGAGAATACTGAGAAGGCGGTTATGCAAATGCTTCTCTGATCACACTCTCAAATGGTACAGGCACTCTTGATTGTGATGCAAGGCAGGGCAATTCTGGTTAGCTTTTTGTTTATTTCAATTTTCTGTTTTAGATGAGCAGAGGCTCATGAAAGCATAAAAGAAATTAGGTCTTCAAAAGGGCCTGAATCACCTATGTGCTACATAGCTCAACAGAGATGATGAATAAATTTGCTCTGGCCTCTAGTTGATAATTTACTGACACTGCTGTAACAGAATGGTTGTCACAATCTTTAATTTCAGGAAACCTGTGATCTGGGGAAGATAAAGCCTGAAGCCAGGCGATACTTGGAAAAGTCAGTTAAAATGGGGAAAAGAAATGGGCTCCATCTTCCAGAACAAGTCCAAAATGTGAGTTTATGTTTCCTTTTCTTTGTGGGGAAAAAAAGAGAGTAAATAAAACAAAATGCAACAAAAAAAAAAACAAACAAACAGGAAATAAGGAAAGACATGTTTTTAATGTGGGAAATAATGCATAATAGAAATCCATTTACAATGTATTGGATAGTCAGTGGTTTCAAATTCCACAACTCCTATCCACCTCTTGGTGACTGACAGAAAGCTGGTAACTTAATTTTTCTTTAACCCTGTCCAAGTTTTATTTCTTTCATGTGTGCTGGGCCTATTTTCTCTGCTCTATCTTCTCTAATACCTAGTTCCAGGCCTTAATAGTTGACTTGTGTTTTTATTCCTTTGTTCTTACAGAGATAGGGCACTGGTAATAAAATCCTTATGATGGGAAATTATAAAACCAGCACTTTAAAGTGGAATACCCTGCGATTACTATATGCCCCTTAAAGGTGGACAAATCAGCTGCTAAAAAATGCTTCTAAACTTTTTCTTTTGTCTAATGCCAATCAAATCTTACAATTTCAGAAATAAACTCGACGGTAGAATTAATTCATTCTTTGGAAAAGGAAAAATGATTTATTTCCAGGTGATTCTTCTAGGCCTGTGGTCGGCAAACTGCGGCTCGCAAGCCACATGCGGCTCTTTGGCCCCTTGAGTGTGGCTCTTCCTAAGCCTTAGGAGCACTTTAATTAAGTTAATAACAATGTACCTACCTATATAGTTTAAGTTTAAAAAATTTGGCTCTCAAAAGAAATTTCAATTGTTGTACTGTTGATATTTGGCTCTGTTGACTAATGAGTTTGCCGACCACTGTTCTAGGCAGTAGAACTAGAAACTAGTTTGAAAAGAGTGTAGACCATGTGATGTCAGCATGGCAGATAGACCTGAAGGCACCACTGAGGTACAGGCACCGTTCTCCCACCTGCACGCCCTTTGAACAACTTGATCCTCTTCATCCTGGTTACAGGAAAAGTGGGACTGATCTCACTTATCAGACTTGCCCTGGTCAATCATCAGTTCTGTTTGGGGCATGAACACTGTGTTAGTTAAAATATGTTTGGTTGCAGCTAACAAAACCCTGTTGGAACAATTTAAATAATAGGAGAGATTTACTTGCTTGTATAGCTGGAAGGTCCAGAGGTAGTCGGGCTTCATAGGTTAGTCTGATCCAGATGCTCAGTGATGTCATTGGCCACCTGATTTTTCTTTTTTTTTTTTTACGTATATTTTATTGATTTTTCACAGAGAGGAAGGGAGAGGGATAGAGAGTTGGAAACATCGATGAGAGAAACATTGATCAGCTGCCTCCTGCACACCCCTACTGGGGATGTGCCCACAACCGAGGTACATGCCCTTAGTCGGAATCAAACCTGGGACCTTTCAGTCGGAAGGCCGACGCTCCATCTACTGAGCCAAACCGGTCAGGCCCACCTGATTTTTCTATTCCTCTACTCTGTCTTCACAGTTAGTGCTATGCAAAGGTGGCTCCTTTTATTTCTAAAACTAGAGGCCCGATGCATGAAAATTCATGCACTTGGGATGGGGGGTGTCCCTCAGCCTGGCCTGACCCTCTTACAGTCCGGGAGCCCTCGGGGGAGCGGGCCTAAGCCGCAGTCTGGCCTGCCTCTGCAGGAGGTGACCGGGTGGGCCAATCAGGGGACTGGCGCACGTGGTGAGCAGCTGGCTCCACCCCTCATTGTGCCACTGCCACTTGTGGCCTCCTTCTGCGGGAGGCAATCCCGGCGGGCCAATCTGGGGATGGTGAGCAGTGGGCCCCACCCTGTATCGGCCCGCCACCATGGCCAGTGGCTTCCCTCTGCAAGAAGGCCTACGGGAGGTGACCCTGGACTGATGGGGGAAGGCGCCAGGTAGCCCCGCCCCAAATCACACCAGGCAGGCGATCAGGGGATGGCGTTGCTCCATCACCCCACCCCTGGTCACTGCCACCCCCCCACCCCACCCATCCCCTCCCTCTGCCTGCTGGCACGCACCTTGACTGGCCTGGCACCACCTGCTCACGGGCCCTGCCCCCACTGACCCATCGCTCCATCGATTGGTCAATTTGCATATTATACCTTTATTATATAGGATGACTACAAATCTAAAGACCCCACCATCTAGAAGTACACAGAGAAGCCTCCATCAAACTTCTTCTCATGTCTTAGTGGCCCAAACTGGATCATCTGCCTGATCCTGAATCCCCCATTAGTTGAGCGAATGCCAGACCTGGGTTACCTGAACCAGTCATTAGTGCAGTACAGATGGGATTACATAACCAGTGCGGAGATCACACCCCTGGAACTTCAGATAAAATCAGATCCGACTCAAATTCCATGACTGCTATGGCGTATGGAGGAAGTGAAGGGAACGGGGGGAGAGCCAGAATGTCCAAAAATGACTGTACGTGTCAAATTTAGTGTTCATCAGAATTACTTGGAGGGCTTGTTAAAACTCTGAATGCAGGAACCCACCTCTGAGAGTTTGTGTTTCAGTAGATTTGGTGTGGGTCTCAAAAATTTGCATTTCTAACAAACTCCCAGGTGATGTTGATGCTTTTGGTCAGGAGAACCAGTGTGGTTTACATAAACTTCATTATCTAGCATTTCCAGAAAAGTGGGACAGATTAATAAAATTATTTCATGTTTTTTCTTGTGGTTCCCTTTATATTGCTTCCTTTGATCTCCCACCTAATACTTTCTAGACAAATGTTAGGGCTCATAAATTGCATTTGTTTGCAAATGCTCTATAAAACTAGGGCATACTCATGGACACAGCTTAGAAGAGAGCAGACAACTGTGTAATCAAGTACATCTCCAAGATGGGACTTCCTAAGGGTTGGGTACAGAAGTCAAACTTTATCTAACAGTAAAATTTACTTGACTGATGGTGATACAAAGAAACAGTTCATTTTATTGTTAATGTCCTGTATTTGTGCCTTTGTTTCAGGAAATCAAAGCAATGAAGAAAAGAATGAGTGAGCTGTGCATTGACTTCAACAAAAACCTCAACGAGGATGATACCTTCCTTATATTTTCCAAGGCTGAACTTGGTAAAATTTTGTTATTTTTCTAAATGAAATTATGTAATTTAGGCAGATGATGTCACCTCACAATTTGGCAGGTCAAAGTTACAAGAATTCTTTATAAAATGATCCACTATCTTCTGAAGAACCCACCATCTTTTCTACAGAAAAGACCAACAAGCCATTTTTAGATTATGGGCTAATGAGAGTGTATACTGTTTCTGGAGACAGTCCTGAGAAGATTTCGTAATCTTTCTTGGTTAACAGCCTTTAGTGCCTTGAAAAATTTTTTGCCCCACAGTGTCCCCTACATTGTAACTTAAACTAGTCTCTTCTTATTCTGTTCTGGACCTTGCTTGGTTTAATTTTCCTGTTCTCCATCAAACCAGCACTGAAGCCTATGCATATTGTGGATTAGCATCTCCTGAGACACCTGTTCTCTAACCACCATCCACATGAGATTATAAGAATTGTCATCATTTTACTTGAATTTTAATTACTCCACAAAATTCCTCGAGTTCTTAATGGCACCATGCCAATGCTAAATTAATCAATAATGAGTGGAAAACTTGATGTATGAGAGAATTTCTTGCAGGTGCTCTTCCTGATGATTTCATTGATAGTTTAGAAAAGACAGATGATGACAAGTACAAAATTACCTTAAAATATCCACACTATTTTCCTGTCATGAAGAAATGTTGTATCCCAGAAACCAGAAGGAAGATGGAAATGGCTTTTAATACAAGGTGCAAAGAGGTACTTATAAATGTTTGTCTTTGTTTGTTTATTTGTTGTTATGGAGGACTTTAAGAAAAGGGTTTGCTTTATTAACCATTGTTGAAGTCAGCTCTGAGACTAATACTCTTATTTGTGAGCATTATGCTTCCTAATTCCTCAGACCTAGAATTTTAGCTTTTTCCTTGCCCACTTGACAACCTCCCTTGTCTGGCCACAGGTTAAACTATTCTAATGAAAATAGAATGGATTAAATAAACTAAAAGTTGTATTCTTTTCCCAAGTCGATAGTCCAGGGCTAGTGGGGCATCTCTCTCTTTCTCTCCTCAGCAAGTGACTTCCAAGGGCATTTCAGTTGTCATCTTCCCAATCTGTTGGAAAGAAGGAAAATAAAGTACAGTGAAAGTATCTTTGAGAAAAGGACCTAGAGCCCAGCCATTGTGACTCAGTGGTTGAGCGTCGACCTCTGAACCAGGAGGTCACAGTTCGATTCCTGGTCAGAGCACATGCCTGGATTGCAGGCTCCATCCCCAATGTGAGGCATGTAGGAGGCAGCCAATCAATAATTCTCTCTCATCATTGATGTTTCTTGCTCCCTCTCTCTTCCTCTCTGAAATCAATAAAAATATATTAAAAAAAGAAAAGGACCTAAAAATGACATATATCAGTTGCACATTGCATTGACCCAAATTCCATTATATAGCTACTAGAGGCCCAGTGCACGGATTCGTGCACATTGAAAGGAAATTAATTAGAAGGTGGCCGGTGGGGCAGGACTGAGCAAGACAGGTTGGACATACCCTTGAGCCAACCTCCCAAGGTCCCTCCTCCACCAGCCGCACCTGGGTGGTGCCAAGGCTCAAAGGGCATTTGCGGAGTGAGTGGGATCCCTCTGGCAGGTGGGGTTCCTCACCTGGCCTGCGGGTGTCAGGCCAAAACCAGCAGTCTGACATCCCCTGTGGGGTCCCAGAGTGCAAGAGGACACTCTGCAAAGTTGCTGTCACTCAGCAGCTCCTGCATTGAGTGTCTGCCCCCGGTGGTCAGTATACTGGACAGTTGGCTGGTTGCTTAGCCTTTTGTATATATAGATATCTAGCTAAAAGGGAGGCTAGGAAATATAGTCTTCAATTGGTAGCCATTTGTTCAGCTGAGTGGATTCTATTACTAAAAGGAAGAATTAGAAATGGATTTTAAGAGTCAGCTAGCCAGTTGCACCACAGTCTATCCAAGTAACATGAGCACATTTCCCCCATTCACCACGTGTCAGATCCCAACCAGTTATTGCCTTGAGCTCAAAGACTAAGCTCTCTCCGTGATAGACAGTCCTCCCCAGTTGTAGCTTCTCATGATGTAGCAGCCAATGAAAAGGAAGACAACTTGTCTGGCCCACTCACCCAACACGCACACCCAGTGGTGGAATAGGAACAGAATAACCACAATAAAAAAACACTCCCGCTTGGAGTAGGAGAGAATGGGATACATAGCAGGCCTTCCAACGTTCAAAAACAGTTTGGCAGGAATTATAAGGATTCTGAGTCTGGGAAGTTCCTGGGATAGCCCATTGGACTTATTTTGGGTCTCTTTTCAGGCAGGGATTCCTTTAAGAATTATATCCGTGGCCTCTGGTTTTACCTGCAGGGAATTCTTTATTGTTCATTACCCCTCACGACCACATTGTGGGCGGCTACTAGCATAGATTCCTGCCAATACCAGCTCAAAGCCCGAGAGTTGCTTTAGAAATCAAATAATCATAAGCTTCCAATCAGATTCATGTTAAAAAAAAAAAATAGCTATACATGTCCTGGCTGGTTTTCTCAGTGGTTAGAGCATCGGACCAAAGGGTCTCGGGTTCAATTCCCAGTGAAGGGCACGGTACCTCAGTTTCAGGTTCGATCCCCGGTCTGGTTAAGTGGGAAGCAACCAATCAATATGTCTCTCTCACATCAATGTTTCTCACTCTCTCTCTCTCCTCCCTTCTTTTCCCTCCCTTCCACTGTGTCTGAAAATCAATGGGAAAAAATATACTCGGGTGAAGATTTAAAATAATAAATAACTAGGACTTTTCTTAAACCTACCAAATCTTTTCTAATATATGGGTTCCTGTATCATGTCCCTCCTGCTCTTCCTCAATTTAATGGTGCCCATTTCAGTGCTGAAATGGCAAACTTGAGCAGGGAGACAGCCTTCTCAACCAAGACTCCACAGTTCAATAACTCCAAGTCTTTGCTCCTGACGTTAGGATGCAGGGGAACTGGCTTTTCCAGCAACCCGAGGCCCTAGACCAGCCGTGGGCAAACTACGGCCCGCGGGCCGAATCCGGCCCTTTTGAAATGAATAAAACTATTGAAAAAAAAGACTGTACCCTTTTATGTAATGATGTTTACTTTGAATTTATATTAGTTCACACAAACACTCCATCCATGCTTTTGTTCCGGCCCTCCGGTCCAGTTTAAGGACCCATTGTGGCCCTCGAGTCAAAAAGTTTGCCCACCCCTGCCCTAGACTGTGGGCCACAGGCAGAACCTCTCTCAACAAATCTCTTTTCCTTCCATCTTGCAAACTGACCAGTTCTCACTTAAGCACATCTTTCTCATGTAATTTCCATAAAAGCAACAAATACCAGCAAACACACAACAATGTTATTAGTTTTCCCAAACAATTCCCCTCTCTAAGACTCAGTAGGTAATTGGCCTACCTTCCAAATTACAGCAAGCAACAGTTTTAACAAATGGGACCTCTGGTGTAATGAGGAATACCAGCTTCCCAGCCTGCGGTGTCTGTGTGCTCATCCTCACCTCCCACTCCTGTACATTTTTTCATTTTTGTTTTAGCAGCACTCTATTCCTAATATCAGTCCTCGGGATATTAGGGTATAGTTTAAGCAACTGTACAAGAGTCCAGCAAAAGCACAGAGACTCAAATAAAAGTTATTTCTCTTCAGAAAGCATTAATGGTTACCGGGGCTGGGGAGCCTGGGGAGTTATTTCTTAATGGTTACCAAGTTTCTCTGTGGGGTGTTGGGTAAGTTTTGGAAACAGATAGTGGTAATGGCTGCACAGCAGTCTGAATGGAATTAGTGCCACTGAATTATACACTTAAAAATGGTTAAAATGGCATATTTTATGTTACATATTTGACCACATTTTTTAAAAGGTTTATTTCTCTTAAAACTAACAGTACAGAGGTGAGTGGTCCAGAGCTGGAGGACAGCGCTGCCATCCTCAGTATGTGGCTTTCAGGGTCATTGTTGCGGTCGTCAGTTCACAGCTAGCAAGACAAGCATCTACAAAGAGATGACCCAGAAACTTCAATCATCACCTCATTCATATTCCACTGTCCTACAACCAGCTTTAAGGAAGTCTGGGAAAAGTAGTCAGGTGACCTATGTGTCTGGCAAAAGCTCAGAGAATTCTAGTACTAGGCCAGTGATGGCGAACCTTTTGAGCTCGGCGTGTCAGCATTTTGAAAAACCCTAACTTTGGTGCCATGTCACATATAGAAATGTTTTGATATTTGCAACCATAGTAAAACAAAGATTTATATTTTTGATTTTTTTTATATATTTAAATGCCATTTCACAAAGAAAAATCAACCAAAAAAATGAGTTCGCATGTCACCTCTGACACGCGTGTCATAGGTTCGCCATCACTGCACTAGGAGGAAGAGTGGGGGAATAGATATTGGGAAGAAATTGGCAGTCTTAATTTTAGAACTTGGGGAATTATGCCATGTGTTTCTCTTATTGATGTTTCCATTCCAATTTTAAAATAAGGGGAATTTAACATAATTATATAGTTGGCTCTTTTACCAGGCACTTTTCTATATACTTTACATATATTTTCATTAGACTCTTCATTGCACCCTATGACTTAGCTGCTTTCATTATATGTATTTATATGTGTTTTAACAGATAAGAAAACTGAGGCTTAGAAAGTAATTTAAGGGACTTGTCAACAGTCAGACAACTAGTAAGTGGTGGAGCGAAATTTGGAATCTAGATAGACTACTGTGGCGTGTGATCTTCCTTAGAAGCACGTCTATTAAAAAATTGCTCATTTAATCATTGGGAGTAGTAGTTCTTTGACTTCAGTGTCTGTTTACTTTTTCTTTTATTGTTTAAAAATGTTATGCTAAGTGAAGTAAGCCAGACACAACAGGACAAATATTGTATGATTCCACTTACATGAGGTTCCTAGAGTAGTCAAATTCATAGAGACAAAAAGTAGAATGATGGATGCCAGGGGCTGGGGGTATGGGGAGTGGGGATTAGTATTTAATAGATTCAAAGTTTCAGTTGGGAAAGATGTAAAAGCCTGGAGATAAGACTATCATTATTTGTATTCTTAATACAAATATAATATAGAAAATGTTTGTAATAATTTGAGAAAAATCCCTGAAATATTTTTAAGTGTAGAGTTCTGTGGCATTAAATATATTCACGATGTTGTGCAACCATCACCACCATACGCCCTCAAGTTTTATCCATGTTTAGCATGTTTCAAAAGCTCTTTTTAAAGCTGAATCATATTTTATTGTATTGTATACACCACATTTTCCTTATCCATTTATCCATTGCTGGACATCTGGGTTGCTTCCACCACTTGGCTGTTATTCACATAATGCTGTAGTGAACATGGTGGGACAAATATCTGTTTGAGTCCTTGTTTCCACTTTTTTGGGATCTATGCCCTACAAGTGGAATTGCTGGAACATATGGTAATTCTCTGTTTAAAATTTTTTTGAGGGATCCCAGTACTGTTTTCCACAGCAGCTGCACCTTGACATTCCCATCAGTAATGCACAAAGATTCCAAATTTTCCTCATCCTCGTCAACACTTACTTTTTTCTGGTGGTTGTTTTTTTTTTAATAATAGCCAGACTATCATTAAAAAATAAGCTATTAGTATGACTATCATAATGAAGTTAAAGAGGCAAATTTCGTGTTACATATATGCTACCACAATGAAAAAACAGTGTAGGTACCAATATGTGGTATAGTCTTGTCAGTGAGACTAAATGTGGCTTCACTCTAGTCCTTAAGAATACATTTTCACTCTAAGTTTACAATACCTGAAATTTTATCAAGACCTCCTAGCTAAAAACAAACAAACAAACAAAAAAACCAACAACCTCACAACTATCTCCTGAGGTTGAAAAAGTCCGTTAATTCAGAAATACAGTTGGATCGGGAATTTTAAAAAAGCTCTAACACTGAAATGAAATAATTTATTAGAAGTTGAGATGGTCTAAAAATATTTGACAGTTTACCAGCCTGAAAATAAATATAATAACTCTTTCAGTGCTTTGGATCCAATTAATTATTTTTATCCCATTAATTATTAATGTTTGTTTTTGTTATTGTTTATTACTAGGAAAACACCAAAATTCTACAGCAGCTACTCCCACTGCGGGCCAAAGTCGCCAAGCTACTCGGCTATAGCACACATGCTGACTTTGTCCTTGAAATGAACACTGCGAAGAGCACAAGCCGTGTAACAGCCTTCCTAGGTTAGGTCTCTTTAACTTACTTATTAGTTCTCTAATTCCATTTCTGTGACTGTTTTGCTGCATGATACCCACTTGACAGAGAGCCCTTAGACTCTAATATCCTTTTGAGGACATTCTATTTTTTATTCATTCAAGAGAAACTTATTGATCACCTACTATATATTAGGTACTGTGCTTGGTTCTAAGGGTTGCCCATTGTTTATATTACTAAGGTAATCCTTGCTTCATTCTGTATTGTGTCTTGATTGGGATTTTTATACTAATGTCTAACAAAACATCTAGGGTCCTAATAGCAAGTATTAGCTTATTGGCTTTGTTTGCTGCTATTTGGTGATTGTAGTTATAGTGTAGCTAATTATGAGTTTATATGAAATAAGCTGACAAATGTGACATAAATAAAACATTATAATCCAAAAAAATAAACATTTTATAGTCTAGAAGCCACTTACTATATACAAAAGCAATATAAATATGCATCAAAACTATTATCTAATAACTATATTCACCTTTATTTAAAACCACTTTCACTAAACTTTTTAAAACCATGATTCTTATGTCCATGATATTGAGTCACTGGTACTCTATCACTCTTGCCCATCTCTATCTCAACCAAGGTGTCAGTGATCCAAGAGTCACTCTGTTTATCTCTCTCATTGTAGTGAAAGTGGTTGAATAACAACCACGGTATAAACACTGATTTTTATTGTAATCTTCTCTAACAATAAAAATCAGTGTTTATACCTTTTTAACTTTCCTCATTGACCTGTTTCAGACTTTATTCACCTTTAACAACTAGTCAAAGTATGTAGTCTGTTACTTTGGTATTTTTTTATTAGCTTAATTGAGTTAGAAATTACTAATAATGCCTTAAAATAAGCCTTCAACCCAAGATTTACTTCTCTGTGTCCTAAATGGCCATACCTGGCATTACTAATGTATAGGCTGGCATCAGATATGACTTGTAGCAGATGCACCATAAATGGTAGTTATTTGTTATTATATAATTGATTTATTCATTCATGAGACATTTAGGAAATCACTATTCTGCATTAGGCAGTAAACCATAAAAAGGAATAAAATGAGGTTCTTTTCTCAGTGAGTTTTCCCTGAGTGGAAATAACAGAGATGTGAACAAGTAATTGCCATATATTCTGATGCATGTTGTACAGAAAATGACTCAAGGAGTTAACAATTTTGATGAAAATGCTTTCTTTAGTTGTAACTGCATATACTGAAAAATTTCCTTAAGAACTACCTGATTAACTTAATTTCTTTAAAGTCATTTCCCTCTCATTTGAAATTGGCATATGTCCATCTGGGTTGTCCTCTTGCTACCTGTACTTTCATATTCTCTGGCAGGCCCACTCAGAATTATCTCATGTATCTTCTAGGCGTTTCCTTCTTTCTCTTCACCTCATTCCTCAGGCTCTTGTCTTCACCTCACAATTTCCATGTCCCTTACAGAGCCAAACACATGTTTATCTTATATATGTAACAGATTGTGAGGAATTAATACATAGAGCATATTCATTGAGCCAAATACAGTAAAATAGTCCAAAATAGACCACAGTATATAAATTGTGGTATCCATCTAAAAAGTGGAATTACTGTGTCAAAATAGTTCTTCTTCATAGGAACTGGGTAGTGAAACATACTAAACCTATGGCCATCAAAGGCATTGAGCAATTTTTAGTAATACTAGTCACAGGTTACATTTGATTTATTTTCCCTGCCTTTCTGAGAAGCCTAATCTTCTTGAAGAATAATCATGTATATGAGTTTAGTTTCACTATTCCTTTTTCCCCTGAATTAGAAAATTTGTGAGTCAGAGTTCCCTGAGATAAACTTCAGTTTTGTTGATGCCGTGAGGAAGTCATGGCCTAGTTTGGGTGGTGCTAAAAGAAAAAGGGCCGTAGCCGGTTTGGCTCAGTGGATAGAGCATCGGCCTGCGGACTGAAGGGTCCCGGGTTCGATTCCGATCCGGGGCATGTACCTTGGTTGCGGGCACATCCCCAGTGGGAGGTGTGCAGGAGGCAGCTGATCGATGTTTCTCTCTCATCGATGTTTGACTATCTCTCTCCCTTCCTCTCTGTAAAAAATCAATAAAATATATTTTAAAAAAAATAAAAGAAAAAGGGGTGAGGAGACATAAAATAAATTACCTTAAAGAGAACAACAGTGCTGTCATAATAGAGTCTGCTTTCTTTTCCTTCCCTTCCTCACTGCCACTCTCCCTCTATAGAAAGCACCATGCTGAAGCACAGGTATGTATGAACATGTTTGCTCCTAAGAGCAATAGATCATTGACTCTTCCCCCTTCCCTCACAGATGATTTAAGCCAGAAATTAAAACCTTTGGGTGAGGCAGAACGGGAGTTTATTTTGAATTTGAAGAAAAAGGAATGTGAGGAGAGAGGTTTTGAATATGATGGGAAAATCAATGCCTGGGATCTGCATTACTACATGACTCAGACAGAAGAACTCAAGTACTCCATAGACCAAGAGATCCTCAAGGAATACTTCCCAATTGAGGTGGTCACCGAAGGCTTGCTCAACATATACCAGGAGTTGTTGGGACTCTCATTCGAGCAAGTGGCAGGTGCTCATGTGTGGAATAGAAATGTTACACTCTACACTGTGAAGGACAAAGCCACAGGAGAAGTATTGGGACAGTTCTACTTGGACCTCTATCCAAGGTACTGATGACCATATTGTTGGAAGAGACTTTAGGGGTTCAACTCCTATCCAGATTATCACTATTGTCTTCCGTAGATCTCTTGTGTGGTTTTAATAAAGGGAATAAAGATGTGGGCTCTGAAGCCAGAAGGTCTGGCTCCATTCCTTGATAGACAGGTTCTTAATGTTTCTGTGCCTCAGTTTCGTAACCAATATTACAGGGCCTATAAAATGGGAATACTAATCCAGGCTTGTTTTTTTTAAGTTGCTTGAAGTTTCCTTCCTCTCTCTCCTTGGGGGCACCTGTCTTAGATTGTATGTTAGTTGATTGCCATTCAACCTCTGCTTTATGAAGGATTCAAGAAAAGGTGTGATTTGCAGATTGTCCAGCATGTTATTGTTGTAAGGATAGGAGCAGTAAATGCCCTTTCCAGCAATAAATGCCCTTTATACATTATAACAGGTAGCTGGAAAAAGATAAGTGTGTGTTTTTTAAAACCTCAATAGCATCAGCAGAAAAAGCCCAAGAGGAATGAGTCACTAAGAAAAGTTAATACAGAAAAATACATACAAATAAAATTCACCCAAACCTGAGAGTCCTGTTAGCCTCCTAGCAAAAAAAGAAAAAGAAAAAAAAGAAAGAGGAGGAGGAGAAGGAGGAAAAAACCTGGTCCTAGAATAAAGTCTAATAGCCATTAGCTTTTGGAGAGACCCTCACTGATACCTCATTGTCTAAGAATAGTCAACTTTATAGTATAATTCATGCTTTTCCCCAGGCTAACAAAAAGCATTCTGTTTCAAAAAGACTTGTGAAGTTTATCAAGGGAGCTCATTTAATTGTGAACACTGATTCTTCCTTCCCTCCTTGAATAAAACGAACAATCTTACTGTATGGAATTTGGTTTTTTATCAATTCTATTTTTAAAGGAAAACTACCTCATAAATCAAACTGTACCTTGTAGCTCAGATTTCTTCAACACTATTTAGTGTTTAATGACTCCATTTTTTTATTGCATTTATTGGGGTGACATTGGTTAGTAAATTGTGACTCCATCTTCAAAGATGAAAAGCATGAGCTCATTAAAATAAGTTGGACATGTAATCGGGTGGTGAACACACAATACAATATACAGATGATGTGTTATAGGATTGTTCGCCTGAAACCTATATAATTTTATTAACCAATGTCACCCCAGTAAATTCCATAAAATGAGCAAACAGATAAATAAGTTGGACATTCAGCCATACACTAGGTGTGGTATGTATTCTTAGTTCTGATATTAAGATTTTTTGCTGTAACCGGTTTGGCTCAGTGGATAGAGTGTCGGCCTGCGGACTGAAAGGTCCCAGGTTCGATTCCGGTCAAGGGCATGTACCTTGGTTGCGGGCACATCCCCAGTAGGACGTGTGCAGGAGGCAGCTGATCGATGTTTCTCTCTCATCGATGTTTCTAACTCTTCTATCTCTCTCCCTTCCTCTCTGTAAAAAATCAATAAAATATATTTAAAAAAAAGATTTTTCAACAAAAGAAACCTTGGAGTAATAACTCATATGACGTGATCGTTGGGTTTTTGTATGTTTAGTTTTAGTCTTTCCATTTGAATACAATGTTGATCTACTTTCTAAAAGGTGAATTAAATGTTTTGAAGCATCTTCTACCAAATATGTATCAAATATGACTTAATGACTGAGAGAGGCCAGGGCAATCTTGTTAGAGAAGGGTGTTCATCTCTCATAGATTACGCTTCTGGTTCCCAGGGAAGGGAAGTACAACCATGCAGCCTGCTTTGGTCTCCAGCCTGGCTGCCTCCTCCCTGACGGGAGCCGCATGATGTCGGTGGCAGCCCTTGTGGTGAACTTCTCACAACCCCTCGCAGGCCGTCCCTCCCTCCTGAGGCACGATGAGGTGAGGACTTACTTCCATGAATTCGGTCATGTCATGCATCAGATTTGTGCCCAGGTGAGTGCCAAATGCTTTTTCAGATGTTTTTTCTCACTGCAGTTGGGTTGCTCCCCTTAACATGGTTTTTCAGAAGCTGAACATGGTCAAGAATTTCTCAGGCCTCTTGCAGAAATACAAAATTTTTCTGATGGGGTGTGTTTCACAGCATATTTTTACTTGGAGGTGGATTCACTGATGAAAGCGTTCACTGAATACCAGATACTGTCCTTGTGGTTTTCAACCATCTCAAACTCTTTGCTCCTTTTTAAATAATAAATATTTTGTAATACCTTTCTTTACTAGCCTCAAATTAAAATCATAGATCATGTAGTATAACCATGGGGAGACTTTGCCAGAGAGGGGATATGTGTGTGTTTGTGTGTGTGTGTGTGTGTGTGTGTGTGTGTGTGTGATGGATTGCAACTGACTTTTCTTTCTTTCTAAAAATGAAAATTACCCTTATTTTCAACTTGATGCAGTCCAGTAACCTAGGCCAGTACTGTCCTAGAATAAACCAATATGAACTTGCTGATAATTTCACTGTTATTGACATATGAAAACATCTAGTTCATGTTCAATCTAACAGTTTAAAAAGCTGATGTTGGAGCATTTGAGATCTTTCTTCCCAGCATAAGTTTTCAGTTTGGCTCAAATAAACTCATAAAATAACATAAAAAACAGATGTTAACAGAAATGGAGGGACACTTTTCCAATTTGAAATCTCTATATAGCGCTAAAGGAAAACTTTTCATATATATATATATATATATATATATATATATATATATATATTTGAACATAATAAAAGTTCATTATTAGGGATACACACACACACACACACACACACACATATTATTGATTTTAGAGAGGAAGGGAGAGGGAGAGAGATAGAAACATAAATGATGAGAGAGAATCATTGATCGGCTGCCTCCTACACGACCCCCAGTGAGGATTGAGCCCACAACCCAGGCATATGCCCTGACGGAATTGAACCATGATCTCCAGGTTCGCAGGTCGATGCAAAACCACTGAGCCACACCAGCCAGGCTCTAAAGGAAAACTTTTAAAAATAATCTCTTTATAAGAATAGTTTTAGATCTATAGAAAAGTTGCAAAGATGGTACAAAAATTGCCCAAGTGCCCTTTACCCTGATTCTCCTACTGTTAACATCTTACCTTATTATATAGTACTTGTGTCACAACCAGGAAGCCAACATTGATACATCACGCTTAACTAAACCCCACACTTTATTTGGATTTTACTAGTTTTTCCCTAACAGTCTTTCTCCGTACAGAGAATTTTTATAATTGATGCAATGTCCTCAGTAAAAGAAAGATTTTTTAAATGGCTTTTAAATGGTAATGCCTTAGCATGGCTATGTACTAAGACATACTGCAGTATTCATGGATTTGCGCTATAATGTGAATAACCCTGAATCCAACAGCAAAAACTGCATATTGACCTAAGGGGTTTGTGTTGTCAGCTGGAGTCGAAAAATGGTATTGCCATTGTCTTAGTTCTTGTTGCTATAACAATACCATAAACCAGGTAGCTTATAAACAACAGAAATTTCTCATACTTCTGGAATCTGAAAGTCCCAAGATCAAGATGTCTGGTTCATAGATGGTGCCTTCTCACTGTGTCCTCACATGGTGGAAAGGGTGAGGATCTCCATGGGCCTCCTTTATAAAGACACTAGTCCAGTGCATGAGGGTTCCACCTTCATGAACTACTCACCTCCCAAAAGCCCCACCTACTATCATTGCATTGAGGGTTAGGTTTCAGCATATTGATTTGGAGAGGGAACAAACATTCAGTCCATAGCACCAAAGGTGACATGATTTCTCAAAACGGTGAACACCTCTTAGGAAAATTCCAAATGAAAAAGAAGTCTTACTTTGATTTACAGAGTTAATCCCAGTAGTTGGTGCCTTGGAAATTAAAATTGTATAAAAAGGACTTTGCAAAAATATGTGCAATGGAGTTATTTTCTAGGTTCTTCATTGTAGATTTTTCATTTATTTGAATTCCAGCAAGAAATATAAGATGTGCAGAATAAGGGACAATTTTTGTGGTCCTGACATGTGCAATAACCCCCAGAGAAGCCCCTAATTATTGCAAGAACCAAAAATGTAGCTACTCATTTCTAAAATACTACATCCTGGTGCTTCCATGTTTTATTTAAAAACAAACAGGGGAATAGGATATGAATCTGTTCAGATAAATAAATAAGTCCTGACATACTAATATAACCATTTATATCCTCAGTTTAATCTAAGGAAATTAAATCTTTCAGAATAACCTAAATTTTCTTTCTTAGATACTTATAGAGCCTATTTTCACAGCAATCAGATTCCTGAAATACTTATTTTCCATCGATGTCCATTCTATAACTGATGTTTTATTTAATTATGATATATCAAAAATACTCATAAAAGTATTTTTATGAGTAATTTAGGAAAGTGAATTTTTACATGGAATTCCAAAGGACTCACAGAAACCTAGAAGCCCAGAGCATGATGGATTCCAAGTAAAGAACTCCTGGGTTTATAGCAGCTTCCTCCTTATTTGGATGTAATTAACAGCTAATGATCTCACAAGGAAGTAATTTGGTATCCTAATCGCATTTATTAAACTAATAGTGATCCTCAAATAGGATTTTCAACGCTGTTGATGCATGTCCTTGTTTTCAAACACAGAGCTCTTATAACCTTAATATCATATGCTTACCACATATTCCTAGTATAGTTCTCCACAACTCTATTTTCATGATCTATATTATTTTTGATTCTTTGAGATGGCCACATTACTACTAGAAAATATATCTTTATACTATGTCATCTTAGAGCTGTTTGACTTGTGACTAAAATATTTTATTTGTTTGTTTGTTTATTCCATCAGTTCTGTGTCTCGTGAAATAGTAGATATATTCAAGTCTTAGAGTTTGCCTTACCTCATTCATGAACACAAAATGTGTCACACAGATGTTGGTACAATCTCTTGCTTGGTCATCTCACGAGACTATCTTTGACAAATCTCTTATTTGTCTATTAATTCTTTCAAATGTCCTATAACATTTTAAGAACTTTTAAGATAATCATATTTGGAATCAGTAATCACTACTTTTGTCTTAAAAGTGTAGGCACAGATCCATGTATTTGCAGTAAGAATTTCAAAACCTTTTGTACTGACCTGACCTGGATATTAGTGAGGGAGTTTTATAGCTTTAATGTTCAGTAAAACACTTCTGACTTATCTAAGACACATATTGTGAATTAAAAAATGTGCCACGGAGAACCAAGATGGCGGCATAGGTTAACGCCGGAGTTTGCTGCTTTGAACAACTACTTCAAAAGTGAAACCAAAAAACGGAAGGGACATCACCCAGAACCACAGGAACGCTGGCTGAGTGGAAGTCCTACAACTAGGAGGAAAGAGAAACGCATACGGACACTCAGAGGAGGCGCAGTGCTGAAGTCAAATTCTGAGGTGCGGAGCGCGCGGAGCGGGCTGGCTGCGGAGGGCGCGGTTGGCGTTTTCAATCGGGAGGGAGTCGCAGAATCTGAGCTCCAGATCCGGGCGAGTCTTTAGGGACCCAGACTCAAACGGGAGAAGCGGGACTGTCTGGCTTCGGTCAGAGCGAGTGCAGCTTTCTCTCCGAGCTTTGCAGCGGGTGCTGGGACTCAGAGAGGCAGAGCCCCTGGGGACAGGACTGAGAGCCGCCATAACTGCTCTCTCCAGCCCACCCTGTTGATCCTGTGCAACCCGCCCCGCCCAAGCCCTGCACACAGGCATTTGCCGGATAGCCTCAGGCAAACACCAGATTAGCACCTCCCTAGAGGACAGAAGTTCTCTCACTGCTGACACAGCTGATTCTCATAGCCACTTGGCCTGGAGGTCAAATCCTCCCTGGAATTAGCTACAACAATCAAGATTTAACTATAAGACTGCGAACAAAGACCACTAGGGGGTGCACCAAGGAAGCATAACAAAATGCGGAGACAAAGAAACAGGACAAAATTGTCAATGGAAGATATAGAGTTCAGAACCACACTTTTAAGGTCTCTCAAGAACTGTTTAGAAGCCGCCGATAAACTTAATGAGATCTACAAGAAAACTAATAAGACCCTCGATCTTATATTGAGGAACCAACTAGAAATTAAGCATACACGGACTGAAATAACGAATATTATACAGACTCCCGACAGCAGACCAGAGGAGCGCAAGAATCAAGTCAATGACTTGAAATGCGAGGAAGCAAAAAACACCCAACCGGAAAAGCAAAATGAAAAAAGAATCCAAAAATGCGAGGATAGTGTAAGGAGCCTCTGGGACAGCTTCAAGCGTACCAACATCAGAATTATAGGGGTGCCAGAAGATGAGAGAGAGCAAGATATTGAAAACCTATTTGAAGAAATAATGACAGAAAACTTCCCCCACCTGGTGAAAGAAATGGACTTACAGGTCCAAGAAGCGCGGAGAACCCCAAACAAAAGGAATCCAAAGAGGACCACACCAAGACACATCATAATTAAAATGCCAAGAGCAAAAGATAAAGAGAGAATCTTAAAAACAGCAAGAGAAAGAAACTCAGTTACCTACAAGGGAATACCCATACAACTGTCAGCTGATTTCTCAACAGAAACTTTGCAGGCCAGAAGGGAGTGGCAAGAAATATTCAAAGTGATGAATACCAAGAACCTACAACCAAGATTACTTTATCCAGCAAAGCTATCATTCAGAATTGAAGGTCAGATAAAGAGCTTCACAGATAAGGAAAAGATAAAGGAGTTCATCACCACCAAACCAGGATTATATGAAATGCTGAAAGGTATCCTTTAAGAAGAGGAAGAGAAGAAAAGGTAAAGATACAAATTATGAACAACAAGTATGCATCTATCAACAAGTGAATCTAAGAATCAAGTGAATAAATAATCTGATGAACAGAATGAACTGTTGATTATAATAGAATCAGGGACATAGAAAGGGAATGGACTGACTATTCCTGGGGGGGAAA